CTTTATTACTATTAAAAGTGATAAAAAGTGACTTTTGGTTCACTTTTCTTTTACATGGGTACTTGGGACAAAATCTATTCGTATGATCGAATAAATGCATCAAATTAGATTGTATTTTCAATATTGGAAAGTTATATGCACGACTTGATTAGTATCAAAGTTTTATTTTGTAGAATAAGAAGAATGATCTCGAATAAAATGAAAGCAGATATATATAATATGATAGCTTTTTCAGCTAAAAAAATACTGTCATTCGTTTGCTGATGTTTTTTTCTTATTTGATCATCAGTTTATTGGTGGAATAGTTGCATTAAGATATAAAGTACCAGCTATGTTTCCTATTGCAACTAGCATAAAAAATTGTTGCAATTTAACAGCTTCATCAATTGTTAGAACGTGAGACACTTCTTGTATTGATTGGGTAGACGATGAGAAAAGGCCACCCAAAATACTTTTCGATTTCGTAATCAAAAGAAGATCAGGAGCTAAATTCCAATCAGCATCAATATCAATAATAAAAAACGAAGCCGTATTTTTAACACTATCACCATTTTTAAATAATGTTAATGAACGATACTTGCCGTTCATTTCAGGTGAATAAAGATACTGAATTTGTTCCCAAGCAAAATCATCTGAATAAGTTAAGCCAAGCATGAAACTACCTTTTAATGGCAGATTGTAATCCATAATAACAGCATTGACAAATTCGTTTACAATATTAGTTGGAATGTCAATTGCCTTGAGAACTGTTGATCTTTGATTGAAATAAGAGAAACAAAATCGAACAATTCTTTCGATAGTGAGTGATTTACTTGATTTCAGTATCTCTATAATTTGTTTAGCAGTACCAATAACTGTTGAAATCGAGCTAGCTAGAGCTTGAATTTTGTCAATAAAATTGTCACTTTCATTTTTCTCGGCACGACTACGATATATTCCCGGTCAAATTACTTCTGTATTAAAATGGGACAACATACGAAACTGTTGTGGCATTAATACAGTAGCACCAAGAAAACGTAACATGTTTAATACAATTCTGGTAGTATTCTGTTGCCACAATTTAATCGATGGCGATAAGTGTTCGTTGAAGAACTCACCGTTAGCAGATAATGTTGATGTATGTACAATATTTAGTAGTTTGCCATTGTTTAACCGTACCAAAAGAATTGACGATTGCAGTAGTGTTGAATAACATTGTTTGAATCATAGTTTTAGAAGTAACATTTATGGACAGAAAATTAATTGTATATGTTGAATTATCAATCAGTTGTCCAAGTAGCCAAATATATTTGATAAATGAACAACTTTCTCCGGTACCGATTTCAGCAGTAAACAAGTTTTCGTATGAAAACTGTGGAGATTCCAATAGTTGTGAATAGTTAGGATTAGAATAAATATCATCAAACTCATGATCATTCGCTAATGCCATTAATATCATAGGTAAATTTTCTTTTTGAACTCTCTTCAACTTTAATACTTGACTGGATAATTTCAAAAATGCCAGGTTAGTTTGAATTGCTGTGATGACTGAATCATTGTAGGATGCTAATATTTCAGGTTTCGCAGTTTTATTGGATAGAAAATTCTCAATGGCTTCATTCAAGCTGTTCATCTGATTGTCAGCTTTATCATTTGATGCGACCGATCTTATCAATGACTGTGATGCAGTTCGTGACAAACTTTGCTGATTGAACCAAAAGTATTGGTCTGCTCTCATTTTCTGCAGAACAGTGTTTAATTCTGCTTGTGTATAGCCGCGTGGCGCAGAATGCTGCACATTATGGCAGCAACATCGTCTAAGCCATGCACATTTAGGACATTTGTGACATTGTCTTGCATTCCAGTATGTATACAATTGTTTCAGTGATGCATATGTGTTGATTGTAACATACATCACTGAAACTGGTAAATTTGGATCAGCAGGCGTAGATATTCTTGTGATGACGACAATCAATGTTGTTAATGAGGTACCTGATGCAATATTGAATGTGAATGCGTGCGCTGAATATGTTTCTTCGGTAGCAGCTAATACTAGTAAACGTACACTTTGCACTGCTCTTTCGCGAAACTGTTCTGGTATAGCCCAATTAGCCATAACAGTACCAATATTTGAAATGCCAACAGTCGCTTGTCCGTGTGAACCAGATGATATTGGTGAACCCATCAAAGCAGCCCAGTTACCTACGATAGTTAAGAAATAGGTTGATGATTCGAACTACAAGAAAATGAATGATAATGAAACACAGTTTTACCGGCTGGTTGCACATTTAATACTAAAGCTGCTTGTCTCATACCAGAAACAGCATCGAAAGACCTCCCTCGAAACTCCATTAATGGTGATTCGGAAAATGCTACACATACTACGAGCAAATTCAATGCCAACAAAACGGTAAAATTTGTTACCATGCTTGTGTATCAATTAATAAATTATTCTTATTTTAAAACAAGAAGAAAATTTTCAAGTAAAAATTGAATCACGTTAATTTTGATACTTTACCGCTTTTACGAATGTTTACAGAATGAGATGAATGACCACTCCAACAATTTAACAATTTGTTATTCTTATACAATACTGACCCTGATCAAATAGGTGCACAAATACTTTTGATGTACCAATACAACTACTGAACAATACAGAAGCTTATATAGTTTTTTTTTGCTTTTTTTTAAACGCAATTTGCAAGGAAGTATTAGCAAATTCATCAATATATCATATATCATTGTTTATTGAATCTTCTCTTCGTATGGATATTAGCAATCATTTACTTTCTTGCGTCATTCCTCTTTTGCCCTTCTATTGAAAAATTTACTGTGCATCATCTTACATCGCTTTCTTCTTCCTAGATATGTCAATAATTAATCACTTCTCTGTATCATTATTTTTTGTCATGTTTTCATTAATGAAAACGACAGTAGTGAAGAGTCTCATATATTTTAGAAAAAGAAATCATCGATTCATTCAAGATAAATAAAAATTATACTTCATAAACTACATATTAGTATTAGACACTCCTCTTTTGAACAAAAAAAAGATAAAGTCTTTACGGTATTTCGCTGTGGCACTGAATCAAAGCAAAATCCATGCAGAACATTTGTAGCACTTGTTCGAGGGAGTGTTCCTAATTAGATATGGCACTTTAACTGTTAAAGTAAAGTTAAAGTGCCATATCTATTCCTAATCATGCGGGTGGTACCTAGTATTCGTTCATTCCTACATCAAAGAGAATGTAAGAAATCTTCTATGCACTACAGATTTGTACAAAATAGTTGTCTTAACAAAGGTGTTATATTTAAACTTAAAAAACTAAATTTAGATTTCATTAA